AAAGAGCAAGAATTTGGATTCTCATCTAAAAGTCATACTAAACTCAAACTTTTCTATTCTGTCCCTTAATACAAGTCCTAACTGTATCGCAGCCTGGAGCAGACATTGAACCTTTGCATTGAATCAGTTGCTAAAGGCTAAAACATGGAAAAGAAAGATGATGGTGGTCATGCCATACTCCCATCATACCTGGCTGACAAACTGAAATGTCAGTCATCAAGATTATGTGTTTTTACATTTAATTGCACTGAAATCTACTTAAGAAAGTTTTTTTTTTTTTCTTTCTTCGTCATTTTTTATTTTTAACTTTCTAGACTGCCCTGGCATTACAAAGACACAATGATTGTGACCAGTCAACTGATAGTCACGGTCAAGGCTACACAGAAGGTTAGATGTTTGTATTTCCCCACTGGAGAGCTCTGTGTGTTGGGGCCTTCACACAAAGATAAAATGTCAAAAATCCTTTCTGTTATAAACCTGAACAATTCTCAATAAAAACCCTGTTGCGGTGAATACTAATCAGAGAGCCTGACAATCAGATCTCATAGGGAATAGACATTTAAGATTAGTAAATATTTCCAGCAGATCTCCATGAACTAGGAACCACCTCTGTTTCCAAGAAAGTGACCATAGCGGGTCTGGGCTCACATAGCCATTAAGGACAGGGGCATTTGTGATGGTCTAACCAGATATCCTAGAAGATAGCCCAGCAACTGCAGGCATAGCCCTGTCAGACTTACCGGATTTGCCTAGGCAGAAAATGTGTAGGTTGAGAACGCCGCCTGTCTTAGATGAAAGACAAAATGATGGACTCCTGCCACCTTTGTGTTTATGCATGACCCTTACTAGCTCCCTTCCTAATTCTCATAATATTTGTAAGGCAGCAGCTTAGGGTCAAAGGTCTTTATTCCCCAGGTGATTTTGGAGACTGCTTTAAAAAATCCTGTGTATTAAAAAGTGTTTGATGGAAAATGGGAACTTTTTTGAAAGGTTAATTTTGAGAAAGCAGATATCATAGAGACCAAAACAGCCATGCTGCAGGCACCTGATTGAAGAAATAAATATTTAAGAAAATGAAAGTGGGCTATATATGCTTTCCAAGATGCTACTTCAATGAATGGGTGCAACCAGGAGAAATCTGGATCTCAGTCTGTTCTAGAAAATGTATACTTGCAGTCACTTTTCAAGTTCTGCAGGGGACTGGTTACAGGAACCCTCAGGATAAAAGAACCTGCAGATGCCTGAGCCCCTTGAATGAAATAATGCATTATATGCATAGAGCCTATGCATAGTTTTCCCTGTTCATTCAGTCATGGGTAGACAACTTACACTGCTTAAGGCAATGTAAATTTTATGCAAGCAGCTGTCACACTGATACATTTAGGGAAATCATGACAAGGAGAAACATCTATCCATGTTAGGTACAGAGACAAAAATATTTCCCATTCTTGGTGGTGGTTGAAATCACAGATTTAGAATCTAAGGATACAGAAGGCAGACTGTACTTGATTGCCCCAAACAAAGAAGCATCCTTAAGTATCTAGAAAAGAACCAAAGATAGCAGCCACCAGCTGGGTTAGGGAACTTTTGTTCTTGAGAATCAGTTTTTTCCAACCTTTGTAGTTTAAATTGTTCAGCAGACAGACTTCTTTCCCTGCAGGAATGGTTATTACCTCACACGGTGCAGACTACTCCCTGGGCTAGGGCAACCTTGAATTATGTTTACAAATGTGAACAATAAAGTAGGTGCTTAACTGAATAGATAAAGCAAAGTAGTTTACATTTGCCTCAATTACCTGAACACTGCATTCAAACTGTGCTTATTTTGGATGTGTGTGGGGGGCGGTGTGGTGTGTGTGTGTGTGTAAAGAAAGAGGATGAGGGAGAGGGAGGAGAGGGAGAGGGATGGAGGGAAGGAGGGAGGGAGAGAGGGAGAGAGAGAGAGAGAGAGAGAGAGAGAGAGTTTTATTTGCCAAATTATTTTTTCTAGCTCATACATCTGTATATAATCTGAAAAGTCCACTTGGTTAACATTTTTTCAGAACTGATTTATTTAAGTTGGTTTAAGATTGGGATTTTATGTAAGCAGTATCTAAGGGTTAAGAGTTTTGACCCTTAAACACCAAGTGCCATTCAACTAGAAGCTCTTTTGAAAATAGAAACATCTTCACTTTTAGCTTTAGCAGAATTACATCAAGCTTTTGTTATGGAACTGCTATTTTATAATCTGAAGACATTTTAAAATGAAAAGAAGAAATTCCTGTCTTCAAAACAATCATACATTAAAAATAAGCCAAATTCTTATTTTACTAGGAATAGCGACTGTCTTAGCTGCTGTGGCCTTATCATCTCAAGACACAGGTCTTTTGCCCTCCCTATAATGTAAGAAATCTATGTTTAAAATAGAAGGTAAGTCATTGAGAGATCAGAGACGGGCTTGTCATTCATCCTGAACTCTTCCATTCTTTTCTAGTACTTTGGCTGTGAGTACATGGGGGACTCAGACACCGGGTACTGCTAACCTCTTAAATACAAATATTTACTACAAACCAAAAAATAATAAATAAATATGTGAGGATTACATTCTCCCTCAATTGGTAACAATTTGAAGGGAGATCAGCAGAAGATTGTGAATAAAACTTTTTGCAATGTATTCAAAATCTGGTTTGTTCCTCTGTATTTACAAACATCTTTCCAGATAATTTTTTAAAGGATTGTGTTCTAAAGCTCCAAATAGACAGTTTATCAGTACAAATGAAATTTGACATTTCAATGTACACTTATTTAGATATTGTATTTATCTTGAGTCATCTGATATTTGAATATGAAATCTTATATTAATTAGTTTATAAACTCTCAGAAAAAAAGCAACTCAAGAACAGCTGCCAGACTGCAAATTGATTCAAGATGCTTGATGCCTCAAGAACATCGAAGTGGTAGAGTTCTGAGTACAATGGTTAGGGACCAGTTATAATTTTTCAAGCCTCAGGGAATGCGCATAAAGTTTCCAGTTTGGCAGCCAAGATAAAAATGGCCAAGGAGGCAGAGGTTTTGTCTGTTTTGTTTTCTAGCCCTTTGGATAGAATGGACTGTTGCTTCCTAGCTGTAGGAAGACTGATCAATGTAGAATGGGGTTACTGGTCCCTCGCTTCTCTTGCTTCCAGGGTATGCATTGTGCAGAGCTGTAATACATATCTAAAAGTCTCTTTACTGCAGCAAGCTATGGTACAATGGTTTGGAGTGGTGGTTCTCTATGAACTCTAGTCCCTATAGAAAGGACTAGGTTGCTGATTTTGACCCAGTTTCCTTTGTGGAACATGAAAATAGTTTGTGATCATGGACAAGCATTTCCTCATTTGAAGAATCCACAGAATGTTTTCCCTTAACTCATCTGATGCAAAATCAAGGATAATCCTGTTTGTCATATGAATAAATGAATCTTACTTTCACCCATGCATAAAAAAAGAAGCCAAACCTAGCATGAAAATATAGTTGATTACAAGAAATGGAAACATTCAGAAAATGGGAACTCTTTGAGCTTTATGTTTTATTTTAAGGCATATTTTGGGTAAATATGGGGCAGTGTTGGCTAGGTCCAGAGAAAATTATATTGTCCTCTGTCGAGCATCTGGGAAGTCCCTGTTGAAACTTGCTAGGCTTTGAAGAGGCATTTTGCTCTAATTCCATTAGTGTGTAAAATTCCTTTTCAGTTGTTTTTTTTTTCTCCATCAACCAGGATGCAGTTTAAGAAAGAAGACAGTCACAGTTTTCAGTATGATACACAGTGGTTGGAAAATTGGAATCTTTGTCCAAACACAAAGTCATTGTCTCCGCAATTTGGAGTACTTCTTAGAGTAAGGAACACAGTAGCACCTTTGGAATGCAGGTCGCTCAGACAAATACCCAAGCACTCCTCACCTGTACACACAAAGCAAACAGAGTAGAGTTGGGCAGAATAGGCTTGAGCCTGTGTGCCCCACACAATTCCTTCTTAATCAAACATCCTGGAAAGGAGAGTTGCTGACTAAGGAGGGGTGCAAGTTTCACTTTCTCCATATGTAACATCTCTCCTCCTCAAAGTAAACATACTCATTCTTAGAGCCTCCAGCTCTGCCCCCGAGCAAGGGACATGCATCTGTCCTGTTCCATGGAATGAAATGGTTCATTTTGGGGGGTTCAGATTGACATAGAAAACTGAATTTTACAGAGAAACAGACATTGGCTGGCGTGTTCTTGGTAGATGTGTTTGTTCTTTTCAATGAGCCTCTGTAGTGAGTGGGAGTCTATTTAATATTTATTAAGTGGAATTTGCTTAGATTACCTTGAGTTGAGAGTTCTGTTTCATGGAAGGAAGCCATGAACGTCTGTGTTTTGATTAGTATGACCAAGGTTGGGTAGAAGGTGGCTGGTTATTGTACATATGTCATATGTATAAAATGCCATGAGAGTTGCTAATGCTATCTACATATTGAGAAGTTTCGAAGCAAGAGGCAACTGTGAACTGTTTTAAGGTAACATGGAGTTAAATCTGCTATAATAAATGTTTGTAGGTTCTGCTCCTCTCAAGAAAACTTTACTAGAAAATTTAGTTCTCTCCAGAACTTTTGAAACGTAACAGGTTGAAATTCCTTATCCTGTTAGGATTTTTGAATTTATGGTGTTGGCAGTTATGTGTGTGTTGTTTGCCCTTTGTCCTCAGCACTGTGGACTCCTTCAGCCAGGGTACCCTCAAGAGTGGGCATGCCAAAGGTGGGAAGTTTGAGACACTAGGGCACCAATGTGCAAAACTATCTAATAGAGGAGAAATTTCATTTAAGCCATTATTTTCAGCTTATTTCTCCATAGGCATTTAATGTTTTAATACTTAATTTAAAATTTCTACATAGAAGCCAAATGATTTGAGCCTTATGTAGTAACTATATAGTTTAAAATCAGGAATAAAAGTAGGAATTTAATATCTCACAACATATATAGACTTTGTCCTTAAAATTTGAGTGGTCATATTTCTGTATTTACACATTCACTTGATATGCAACAGTATTAATAAAAATCAACAGAACTATATAGTTTCAGTTTTTCTGGTCCCTTTCATTCCTGTCCTCTTCTCCTTATGTGAAGTCAGGACTTTCATATATTCCTTCTGTATGTGGTTTTATTAAGTAATTATATAGTATATACCATAGAAATTGAAAAATGAATGATTTTCAATAAAGTTGATTCAGTTTTCTATGTGAAAGATGAGAAGCACAGAGATTCTATGGCTGACATTTTAATAACACCAGAGCACTGTTAATGACTGGGAAGAGATGTAGCTCCCAGCGGTGGAGGAAATGAAGCATCAAAGGAGTCAGGAACATGAAGTGCACACCAACATCCGGTTATAGCAAAGAATGAACATCAAGAAGCAAACTGATCTTGTGTTATAAAAGTATCAAAAGAGAATTGACTGGGGGGGACTCTTTGGGATTTTGCTATAGGTCCATATTTCAAAGTATAAAATAATTTTTGCTCATCAAAATGTATAACTGATGAAAGCCATTGCCCATTTTTTGCATCTAAAGTTGGTTTGATTTGAAAATTAATATTCACTATGAAGTTTTTGAAAGCCTATCTACATTTCTTTCACACTCTGGAATGTATTTTCAAAACAAAGACCTATACATGTCATATGTCTTTATAAGATGAAGACAGTTACTAAACACCTGATAATAATATAAGCTAGACACACAGTCTGGGGTTGAGACATGGTCCAGTAAAACATAGCTTTTGGAAGGAAATGTTGAACTAATCCAGGAACCCAGTGTTCAAATACTGCTGACAATCAGCAGTCTAGAATAAAAAAAAAATTCCCTTGGAAGATTTAGAGATAATCAGCAGTTCTCACTTCAGCAACATGAATTTTAAAGATCGTATTTTTCCTCAAATGGAAACTTGTGGCTGATACATGTGTACTCTTCTCATGCCTGAAAGAAGGTGGCCAGGTAAAGGAAACTAAGAACAATGGTCCTCAATCAGGCCTCAGAGAGAGGACCGAAGCTTACTGCATTTCAAACTGGACCTCAGTATGAGGCCAGCATGAGTGTACCTCCACCAGGAGAGATCCTGTACACATGGACACTGGTGCCAAGGGTCACAAAGGAAAGAGACATGAAGGGTGGAGGTCTGAGATGACCTCTGGGATAGTTTTTTCATGTTTTACGGGAGTCTTTGAAAGGGTAACCAGCAGATTCTAGTGTCCAAGACCATAAACATCAAGCTACAGGTTCAAGAAGGGATTAGCAAGAATATCACTTTAAAATTCATTTACTGTGTGTGTGCGTGCACATGTGAGTGTGTATTAGTGAAATACTTATGAGGACTATTTCCCAGATACTTCCCATGCTGCTGAAAGGTAATTTAGAATGAACTGAGCAGCATACTTTCTTGCTACTTGGTTGGTCACTTCTGGTCTGGGGATAATGGAGGGGGAAGAATGCAAACCAATTACTCTTCACTCATCCATCCCTAAGAGCAGCACTTAAAGATATAGGTATCCAACCCAATAGACCAGGTTGAATAGCAGGAATGACGTAGGGAAAAAGACCCGGGAGTATGAGTCCAGCTCGGAGATGTCTATGTGAATACGCCCTTTCCTCCAGGATCCTGATTTACATTCCTCATAGCAGCAGAAGAAGCTCTGACAGTCTTTGCCATCCAGACACTCGTAGACGCAGGTGTCTTCAAATTCCTGCCAGTATACAGAATTGTTTAAAGTGATCATCACGGGTGGTGGGGGCCTCATATCAAGGAGAGAATAGTTCTGCAGGCACAAGAACAGCATAAAGAGTCATAAGACACAGGCTATAAAGCAATAGGTACATCTTCTGTCTGTTATTGGATAAGGGCATGTGGGCCATACCTATCTAACCTGTAGCCAGCACTGGGCAGAATCTGTCCTTTGCAACATTGCAGCTCAGTGTGCAAAGAAAACTGTGAATTGTGCTGCAGTTTTAAAACTTCCTGTCCAGGAGTTTCATGGCCACATTTTCAAAGTGTGTTATCCATTCCTATTCTCAAGTCTGTTAACTTGTAGTGAATATATACATATCATAGGTAGATATATTCCTTAAATGTTAATCCAGTTTGGTTATTGAAACACGGAGAGATTAATATGATACCTTTTCAAAATAGCAAACAGTACAAGTATAGTGTGCTGAAATGAGAGTGTTCTTGTTCCATCTAACTTGGGCACCGTGAGCTTTCTGTATGGGATGGCTTCTCAATAACTAAAGGTCTGCATGGCTAGAATGTTCTCACTCCCAAGCTCTCCTGCCTTGGAAAAGTCAATGAGGGAGGATAAAGGAGAGTTAATGATGTCAAAGTGGGGAGGATTCACTTGTCCTTGAGAAGTGGCTTCCAATGAACTCAAGCTTTCAGATTACTGACCATACAGTTGTCTGCCTTTTCCGAGGGACAATTAGCTTTTCTCTACAGTGAATTCCATAACGAGAGGCGTTACTAAGTCTAAGTAACGGAAGACAACTGAAAAGACTTGTCTGCCTAATTTGGTTTACTTTTTTTTTTTAAATAAATATTCTCAGGCTGGAGATATGGCTCAGCAGTTAACACTGACTGTTCTTGCAGAAGACCCAAGTTCAAATCCCAGCACCCACATGGGAGCTAACAACTGTCTGTCCTCTGCGGGCATTGCATGACACTGGTGCACTTACCTACATGCAGGCAGTATACATACACATAAAATAAAAATAATAAATAAAATATTTTTAAAAATACTCTCATTAAATAGACCAACCTGACCTGGGATTTGCTGTGTAGTCCAGGCTAGACTTGAACTTATGGTCTTCCTGTCTCATTCTCTTCAGTGCTGATGTCACAGGCCTGTACCAGCTCTACAAGCCAATTTCTGAGATGGATGGTTAAGTAGTTCTTTGCCCAGGGTTAGCACAGTGCTGGGAATGAGGCTATTCAGAATCTAATATTAGAGTCTATAGCCATGCCACATGGAATGCATCCAGTCTCTTCAGAATTCATTAGTAATTCTCCTCATGGGCACAGGCACAATTTGCATGTACTTTTGCATCTTAATTTTACTGACTAGATTCATGGATGTATGGTGCTATGAGTGGGGGCAAGTGTATTCAAAGCCTGGATCCTTCTGGAGCATCACATAGAAAGTGTGTGTGTGTGTGTGTGTGTGTGTGTGTGTGTGTGTGCGTGCGTGCATGTGTGCGTGTGTGTGTGTGTGTGTGTACATGCTGGGGGGATAGTCTAGTCCTAAGCAGGATGCTTTGGACCAGGTATTCACTGGGGGATATCCTCACAAGCTATGGTTACCCATCTGTATGATAGCAGTGCATCACTGTGCAACAACTTCCAGAGCTCTAGCCATGGCAGAGGTGTAAGTCTTCCTGCCCCCAGCTCTGATGAGGATATCATCCTTCAGCTTCATAATTCTGAAACCTGAATGTGCATCAAAATCACCAGTTCATCTCAACCTCTTTCCCATCATGTCTGAGGAATTTATATCTTTCTGGTGATTTCCATTTGGGAAAAATCTGTCTTTATTAGACAACACCACTAAAAGTTTCCTTGCGTGTATGTTATGACAGTTCTCAGTCAGGCGATTATCCACTCATTTCTTCCCTGTGTACCATGTAGCCCCTTATTAATGGAGAAAATGTGGGTTGTGGGTAAAGGAGATAATGGGCTTGATAAGGCAGCACAGCCCTAAAGGAAGACTCTGAGCCAGACTGGGCACCAGAAATCTCTCCAGGGATCCGGGCAGCTCACTAGAGGGGGTGGCTTCAGGGATCACAGGCAAAGCAAGGACTTTGGGGCAAAAGAGAAACTTCCATTTAATGTCTTCATTTAAAGAAATAAAACCCTAGTTATTGAAGCCCAGTAGAGACTTCAGAGGAAACTCAAGAGACCTCTGAGTTTTAATAGCTTAGGAGTTTGGCATGAAATGAATTTTATTTCAGAAGACTGAAAATGAATGTAGTATGTTCCAAGCCTAAGTGGTAGCATGGTGTGCTGTCTAAGCACTTTTCTGTATACTCTCTAATTTGTCATGAGTATTTTAAACTATGCTGAGATGGTTTGATGGATGCATCATCTCTCAACATCATCTTTGGAAAAGCAAGTGTCTGACTCCCTCTTCCTTCTCCTATGTATATGACACATGTCCTCTTGAGCACCATGTTTTCAATACTGTGAAGGGCATTAGCTTTGCATTAAGCAAGTTATAGAACTAAGACACTGGGCTGTGGGAGCAACATGCTCCAACCAGCCTCTGTGTGGAGCCTGGGTCTGTCATTATGACTCTGGAGGCTTCCCTTTTGGGCTTCATTCCTTCTGAGTTGAAATGTATTGAAATGTAATTCTTACCCAACAAGTAAAG